TAGGCACTGTTCTTTGGAAGTGTTAGGCACTGTTCTTTGGAAGTGTTAGGCACTGAAACAGTGTTGAGTAATGTTCTCTGGAACAGTTTTGGGTACTGTTCTATACAAAAGTGCCCAACACTTATAGAACAGTGTTGGGTACTGTTGTATAGAACAGTGTTGGGTACTGTTGTATAGAACAGTGTTGGGTACTGTTGTATAGAACAGTGTTGGGTACTGTTGTATAGATCAGTGTTGGGTACTGTTGTATAGAACAGTGTTGGGTACTGTTGTATAGAACAGTGTTGGGTACTATTGTATAGAACAGTGTTGGGTACTGTTGTATAGAACAGTGTTGGGTACTGTTGTATAGAACAGTGTTGGGTACTGTTGTATAGAACAGTGTTGGGTACTGTTGTATAGAACAGTGTTGGGTACTGTTGTATAGAACAGTGTTGGGTACTATTGTATAGAACAGTGTTGGGTACTGTTGTATAGAACAGTGTTGGATACTATTGTATAGAACAGTGTTGGGTACTGTTGTATAGAACACTGTTGGGTACTGTTGTATAGAACAGTGTTGGGTACTGTTGTATAGAACAGTGTTGGGTACTGTTGTATAGAACAGTGTTGGGTACTGTTGTATAGAACAGTGTTGGGTACTGTTGTATAGAACAGTGTTGGGTACTGTTGTATAGAACAGTGTTGGGTACTGTTGTATAGAACAGTGTTGGGTACTGTTGTATAGAACAGTGTTGGGTACTGTTGTATAGAACACTGTTGGGTACTGTTGTATAGAACAGTGTTGGGTACTGTTGTATAGAACAGTGTTGGATACTATTGTATAGAACAGTGTTGGGTACTGTTGTATAGAACAGTGTTGGGTACTGTTGTATAGATCAGTGTTGGGTACTATTGTATAGAACAGTGTTGGGTACTGTTGTATAGAACAGTGTTGAGTACTGTTGTATAGATCAGTGTTGGGTACTGTTGTATAGATCAGTGTTGGGTACTGTTGTATAGATCAGTGTTGAGTACTGTTGTATAGATCAGTGTTGGGTACTGTTGTATAGATCAGTGTTGGGTACTGTTGTATAGAACAGTGTTGGGTACTGTTGTATAGAACAGTGTTGGGTACTGTTGTACAGAACAGTGTTGGGTACTGTTGTACTGTTGTATGAACAGTGTTGGGTACTGTTGTATAGAACAGTGTTGGGTACTGTTGTATAGAACAGTGTTGGGTACTGTTGTATAGATCAGTGTTGGGTACTGTTGTATAGATCAGTGTTGGGTACTGTTGTATAGAACAGTGTTGGGTACTGTTGTACAGAACAGTGTTGGGTACTGTTGTATAGAACAGTGTTGGGTACTGTTGTATAGAACAGTGTTGGGTACTGTTGTATGGAACAGTGTCGGGTACTGTTGTATAGAACAGTGTTGGGTACTGTTGTATGGAACAGTGTCGGGTACTGTTGTATAGAACAGTGTTGGGTACTGTTGTATAGATCAGTGTTGGGTACTGTTGTATAGAACAGTGTTGGGTACTGTTGTATAGAACAGTGTTGGGTACTGTTGTATAGAACAGTGTTGGGTACTGTTGTATAGAACAGTGTTGGGTACTGTTGTATAGAACAGTGTTGGGTACTGTTGTATAGAACAGTGTTGGGTACTGTTGTACTGTTGTATGAACAGTGTTGGGTACTGTTGTATAGAACAGTGTTGGGTACTGTTGTATAGACACAGTGTTGGGTACTGTTGTATAGAACAGTGTTGGGTACTGTTGTATAGAACAGTGTTGGGTACTGTTGTATAGAACAGTGTTGGGTACTGTTGTATAGAACAGTGTTGGGTACTGTTGTATAGAACAGTGTTGGGTACTGTTGTATAGAACAGTGTTGGGTACTGTTGTATGTGAACAGTGTTGGGTACTGTTGTATAGAACAGTGTTGGGTACTGTTGTATAGAACAGTGTTGGGTACTGTTGTATAGAACAGTGTTGGGTACTGTTGTATAGAACAGTGTTGGGTACTGTTGTATAGAACAGTGTTGGGTACTGTTGTATAGAACAGTGTTGGGTACTGTTGTATAGAACAGTGTTGGGTACTGTTGTATAGAACAGTGTTGGGTACTGTTGTATAGAACAGTGTTGGGTACTGTTGTATAGAACAGTGTTGGGTACTGTTGTATAGAACAGTGTTGGGTACTGTTGTATAGAACAGTGTTGGGTACTGTTGTATAGAACAGTGTTGGGTACTGTTGTATAGAACAGTGTTGGGTACTGTTGTATAGAACAGTGTTGGGTACTGTTGTGACCCTCAGTGTTGGGTACTGTTGTATAGAACAGTGTTGGGTACTGTTGTATAGAACAGTGTTGGGTACTGTTGTATAGAACACTGTTGGGTACTGTTGTATAGAACACTGTTGGGTACTGTTGTGATAGAACAGTGTTGGGTACTGTTGTACTGTTAGAACAGTGTTGGGTACTGTTGTATAGAACAGTGTTGGGTACTGTTGTATAGAACAGTGTTGGGTACTGTTGTATAGAACAGTGTTGGGTACTGTTGTATAGAACAGTGTTGGGTACTGTTGTATAGAACAGTGTTGGGTACTGTTGTATAGAACAGTGTTGGGTACTGTTGTATAGAACAGTGTTGGGTACTGTTGTATAGAACAGTGTTGGGTACTGTTGTATAGAACAGTGTTGGGTACTGTTGTATAGAACAGTGTTGGGTACTGTTGTATAGAACAGTGTTGGGTACTGTTGTATAGAACAGTGTTGGGTACTGTTGTATAGAACAGTGTCGGGTACTGTTGTATAGAACAGTGTTGGGTACTGTTGTATAGAACAGTGTTGGGTACTGTTGTATAGAACAGTGTTGGGTACTGTTGTATAGAACAGTGTTGGGTACTGTTGTATAGAACAGTGTTGGGTACTGTTGTATAGAACAGTGTTGGGTACTGTTGTATAGAACAGTGTTGGGTACTGTTGTATAGATCAGTGTTGGGTACTGTTGTATAGAACAGTGTTGGGTACTGTTGCATAGAACAGTGTTGGGTACTGTTGTATAGAACAGTGTTGGGTACTGTTGTATAGAACAGACAAAATTCTCTTCGATGAGTCCAAAAGAGAATAAGAAAAATTGTTCTTGGGAACAAGAAACCTCTTGTAGAAAGGAGAAGAGTAAAGTCGAAAATTGACGTATGCATTATTGATAATGAAAAAATTACTACGTAAAAACTGGCTAGGAAATAGGCTGTTTAGATGCAGGATTGCTTGCCAGGCAATGTAATTGAGGTGCAATCGATAGATTGCTTCGAGCAAAGGTTAGACATGAATATATATTGGAGCTGCTTCACACAGCTCGATAGATATTTTGAACATTTAGCTACTCCTATGTTCTTACATTCCAAGAACAAAATAAGGCAACTTCTAGACGAGGCATTGATATTTTCACACAAGAGTAACTGAAATGTTATGAAGAATGTCCGTAGATTTGCGCTAATTCAGTAGTCATGAGTAATGGTTTCAGGTTACAGTTGTGTGTGTGTAAACTAAACTCTTTGAAAATGTAATAAGTTATTACGAAACGCCTTCAAGCGTCGCATCAGATGTACCTCATGTATTAATAAAAACAAGAGTTAGTCAAGACTTAGTTTTAGCATCACGTAGCTCCCTCTTGACACACTATATAACACTTCATATACTCTAGGATAGCTGTGTCATTGCAGATATTCCTAAATATTTTAATAAAATATATTACATATCGAAAGGTTTTAATTATATTTAGTTCAGTTTTGCAATATGCAAATGTTTCAACATTATATAATAGTCCTTGAGCCCGTACAATGATTCATCGAAGTATTATTTTATGTCATTGTAAATTATTTTTGGTGAATGTTAGGCGGGTACTCTGATACTTCCCTGAATTATTACCGTGCAGGTGATGCTGCCTTTTCTCCGGCATTTAGTTTTTTGAAGGTCGTGAACATTGGTGCGATAGTCAGTATTTACTATTTACCAGTTGTGTCAGCAGAATGGAGCTATTTAGCTGTTGGACCCCGCTTATATGTTTTTCCTCTGTTATGTCTACTTTTTTTCTCTCTATTTTTCTCTACTATATTTCTCTCTAACGCTTGCACGCACGCACGCACATATGCACACATGCACACACGCACACACGCACATATGCACACATGCACACATGCACATATGCACACATGCACACACGCACACACGCACACACACGCACACACACACACACACACACACACACACACACACACACACACACACACACACACACACACACACACACACACACACACACACACACACATGGGGGCCGGACAGCTGAGTGGACAGCGCTCGGGACTCGTAATCCTAGGGACCGGGGATCAATCCCCGGCGATGGCGGAAACAAATGGGCAGAGTTTCTTTCACCTTGATGCACCTGTTCACCTAACAGTAAATAGATACTTGAGAGTTAGACAGCTGCTACGGGCTGCTTCCTGGGCGTGTGTGTGTGCATTGGAAAAAAATCCATTGATTGATAGTTGAGAGGCGGGCCGAAAGACCCAGAGCTCAACCCCCGCCAGCACAACTAGGTGAATACATCCCCAGGAAGCAGCCTTAGTAGCTGTCTAACTCCCAGGTACCTATTTACTGCCAGGTGAACAGGGGCATCATGTTAATAAAGTGATGTTTCAATGGTAAATAATGAGTCAATGTAATTGGATTGAAACCACGACCTTGGATTCCCCAGTCATACGCACTACCGACTGAACAATGATGAGGTTAGTCGGTATGGCATGGGCCAGGACACTCGAGGGACCTGGGTTTGGTTCCATTGTAGAGACTCGTCGTGGTTCAGTTGGTAGGGCTTCTGGTTGTGGAGTCCAGGGACGTATTTATTGAACGATTCATTAAACTCTGAAGTGCATTTTGGTTATTAATAACGTTGTATTTAGTGTTAAGGTCAGGGGGAATCAATTGTTGTTCTGGGAGTTTAATTAAAGTTGTTTTATTCATTTAACTTTGTACAGACTCGTCGCTTGTTTGGGGAAGTTTTATAACTGAGCAGCAGCGAGTTCCAGGACTGTCTTCTGTATTGACAGTGTCCTCTTCTGTATTGACAGTGTCCTCTTCTGTATTGACAGTGGTCCTCTTCTGTATTGACAGTGTCCTCTTCTGTATTGACAGTGTCCTCTTCTGTATTGACAGTGTCCTCTTCTGTATTGACAGTGTCCTCTTCTGTATTGACAGTGGTCCTCTTCTGTATTGACAGTGTCCTCTTCTGTATTGACAGTGTCCTCTTCTGTATTGACAGTGTCCTCTTCTGTATTGACAGTGTCCTCTTCTGTATTGACAGTGTCCTCTTCTGTATTGACAGTGGCCCTCTTCTGTATTGACAGTGGCCCTCTTCTGTATTGACAGTGTCCTCTTCTGTATTGACAGTGGCCCTCTTCTGTATTGACAGTGGCCCTCTTCTGTATTGACAGTGGTCCTCTTCTGTATTGACAGTGTCCTCTTCTGTATTGACAGTGTCCTCTTCTGTATTGACAGTGTCCTCTTCTGTATTGACAGTGGTCCTCTTCTGTATTGACAGTGTCCTCTTCTGTATTGACAGTGTCCTCTTCTGTATTGACAGTGTCCTCTTCTGTATTGACAGTGGTCCTCTTCTGTATTGACAGTGGTCCTCTTCTGTATTGACAGTGTCCTCTTCTGTATTGACAGTGGTCCTCTTCTGTATTGACAGTGGTCCTCTTCTGTATTGACAGTGGTCCTCTTCTGTATTGGTCCTCTTCTGTATTGACAGTGGTCCTCTTCTGTATTGACAGTGGTCCTCTTCTGTATTGACAGTGGTCCTCTTCTGTATTGACAGTGGTCCTCTTCTGTATTGACAGTGGTCCTCTTCTGTATTGACAGTGGTCCTCTTCTGTATTGACAGTGGTCCTCTTCTGTATTGACAGTGTCCTCTTCTGTATTGACAGTGGTCCTCTTCTGTATTGACAGTGGTCCTCTTCTGTATTGACAGTGGTCCTCTTCTGTATTGACAGTGGTCCTCTTCTGTATTGACAGTGTCCTCTTCTGTATTGACAGTGTCCTCTTCTGTATTGACAGTGTCCTCTTCTGTATTGACAGTGGTCCTCTTCTGTATTGACAGTGTCCTCTTCTGTATTGACAGTGGTCCTCTTCTGTATTGACAGTGGTCCTCTTCTGTATTGACAGTGTCCTCTTCTGTATTGACAGTGTCCTCTTCTGTATTGACAGTGTCCTCTTCTGTATTGACAGTGTCCTCTTCTGTATTGACAGTGTCCTCTTCTGTATTGACAGTGTCCTCTTCTGTATTGACAGTGGTCCTCTTCTGTATTGACAGTGTCCTCTTCTGTATTGACAGTGTCCTCTTCTGTATTGACAGTGGTCCTCTTCTGTATTGACAGTGGTCCTCTTCTGTATTGACAGTGGTCCTCTTCTGTATTGACAGTGGTCCTCTTCTGTATTGACAGTGTCCTCTTCTGTATTGACAGTGTCCTCTTCTGTATTGACAGTGGTCCTCTTCTGTATTGACAGTGTCCTCTTCTATATTGACAGTGTCCTCTTCTGTATTGACAGTGGTCCTCTTCTGTATTGACAGTGGTCCTCTTCTATATTGACAGTGTCCTCTTCTATATTGACAGTGTCCTCTTCTATATTGACAGTGTCCTCTTCTGTATTGACAGTGATCCTCTTCTGTATTGACAGTGGTCCTCTTCTATATTGACAGTGGTCCTCTTCTGTATTGACAGTGGTCCTCTTCTGTATTGACAGTGTCCTCTTCTGTATTGACAGTGTCCTCTTCTGTATTGACAGTGTCCTCTTCTGTATTGACAGTGGTCCTCTTCTGTATTGACAGTGGTCCTCTTCTGTATTGACAGTGGTCCTCTTCTGTATTGACAGTGGTCCTCTTCTGTATTGACAGTGTCCTCTTCTGTATTGACAGTGGTCCTCTTCTGTATTGACAGTGTCCTCTTCTGTATTGACAGTGTCCTCTTCTGTATTGACAGTGGTCCTCTTCTGTATTGACAGTGTCCTCTTCTATATTGACAGTGTCCTCTTCTGTATTGACAGTGGTCCTCTTCTGTATTGACAGTGGTCCTCTTCTATATTGACAGTGCCCTCTTCTATATTGACAGTGTCCTCTTCTATATTGACAGTGTCCTCTTCTGTATTGACAGTGATCCTCTTCTGTATTGACAGTGGTCCTCTTCTATATTGACAGTGGTCCTCTTCTGTATTGACAGTGGTCCTCTTCTGTATTGACAGTGTCCTCTTCTGTATTGACAGTGTCCTCTTCTGTATTGACAGTGTCCTCTTCTGTATTGACAGTGGTCCTCTTCTGTATTGACAGTGGTCCTCTTCTGTATTGACAGTGGTCCTCTTCTGTATTGACAGTGGTCCTCTTCTGTATTGACAGTGGTCCTCTTCTGTATTGACAGTGGTCCTCTTCTGTATTGACAGTGTCCTCTTCTGTATTGACAGTGGTCCTCTTCTATATTGACAGTGCCCTCTTCTATATTGACAGTGTCCTCTTCTGTATTGACAGTGGTCCTCTTCTGTAACTAACAGTGGTCCCCTTGTACTAACTTGTCCATTTTTGCCCTTATGTACCACCACTCAGCAAACAAGTGCCATTTTGTGTTACTACTCACCACAGGAATGCCATTTTGTGGCTCCAATCCACAAAAGACTGTCATTCTATGGCAATACTCTCGAAAGGAGTGCAATTCTGTGGGGCCACCCACCATAGGAGTGCCATTCTGTGGCACCACTCATTATAGGAGTGCCATTCTGTGGCACTACTTACCAAAGGGGTGCCATTCTGTGGAACCACTCTTCAAAATAGTAAACTAAATTACATTCACAACTTATGCTTTTAAATTAAAAAAATTATTTAATTTTTTTTTAAATCAAATAAGATCAAATAAATGAGAACTGTTTACGTGAATGAATAGAAACATTCAGTAATGCAACACTTGATTATTTATGCAATGATGCCTGGCCATAAACATCAGAAACTAGAAAGGACAGAGAGAGAGAGTGTACTCACCTATTTGTGTCTGCAGGATCGAGTATTAGCTCTAAGCCCGCCGTTCTAGCCTGTTGATGAAAGCAATGACTCCTGTCCTATTTACCTAACAATCTACTTTAAAAATTATGAATAGAATTTGCTTCCACAACATGCTCCTTTAGTGCATTCCATGTTTCCACTACTCTCACGCTAAATGAAAAGTTTCTAAGATCCTATGATTCATCTGAGATATAAGCTTCCACTTATGACTCATCTGAGATATAAACTTCCGTCCTTGTTCTGGCGGTATTCAGGTGTTTGGTTACATATATAATTCTCTGTAAGAATGTAACTAGTCTTAACCTGATTATTCTTTCAAGCACTTTACAGAGGATGATTGTCAGTGATACTGGTCTGTAGTTAAGTACCTTTTCTCTATCTCTTTTCTTGAAAATTGGTACATTTACCTACTACGAGCAGCTGAGCAACTCTCCTTCGTAAGGAGAGTGGCTTAATTCTCATTAAAGATCCTTGCTAGAGGCACGCTGAGGGCCTGCCTGCCTCTAGGTATCCACGGTGGTACATTATCTGGTCCAATACCTTTATTTTTGTCCAGTGTTATTAGTTGTTTCATTACCTTCTCTGCTGTCACCACTTTATATAATGGTCACTGTCGAGTCATCTAATCTTCTAACAATGGGAGCTGTTCAGGCTGGGTCGTGAACACTCCGTGGAAACTGGCGTTCAGTGCCTCGCAGATGTCCTTACCACTGTCTGTGTATGCCCCTCTCGTATTCCGAAGTCTTGTCACTTGATCGTTCACTGTCATTTTCCTTCTTATGACATTGCAGTAATTTAGGCTACTTTTTTTGCTTTGATAGCAATATTGTCCTCTTAATTTATTTCCGATTCTCTTATATATTTGTTCCTAGCTCTGTTGCATCTACTCCTGTTTTATCTGTCCTTTCTCCTCTTCTCCATTTCCTCCTGCTTCTCATTTTTTCTTCCTGACACTGTTAATCCAGGGGGTTATTATGTAATCCTCTACTTTTTTCCTTACCTTATGGAACTCTCTTTGGCCTCCTCTCATTTCCATTTGATTGCTTCATCATTTCTTGTACTGTGTTTCCTCTTAAGTTCTTCCTTCTGTTGTAAGTCTCATAGATATTCACGTATCCTTCTGTAATCCTTTTTCCTATAGTGTCAGGTGTGTGTGTTCACCATGTTGTATTCACATAGTTGTGCTTGAGGGGGGGTTGAGTTCTGCTCTTTCGGCTCTCAACTGTCAATCAAATAACTGTTACTGACTGTTCTGCTGGCGCCGGGAATCGAACCCCGGTCCACAGGACTACATATCCAGCGTGCTGTCAGCTCAGCCACCAACGTCTGCGTGCGTGTGTGTGTGTGTGTGTGTGTGTGTGTGTGTGTGTGTGTGTGTGTGTGTGTGTGTGTGTGTGAATATGAAAGAAAGGGTAAGATCAGTGATTCCAGCACACAACTCTATATTTTTTATGTTTCTCTTCACTTGAGGTGGAAGTTTAACAATTAAAGCCAAAAAGTTCGTTTTCCAGTTTTGAGTTGTGTTGACTCTTGTTGATAATGCCACAAACAGCCGCATATACATACAGCCACACACATACAACCATACATACACATACAACCACACAGACATATAAAACCATACACACAAATATACACAGCTCACTCTTCACTCTCCCGGTGGCTTTAAAAACCATCAAAATCGAACATGTCAATATTAAACTGTTGAACACATCTCTTGTGTTCCATTAGAGACAAAGACTTAACCAGAGATTCGGACGAGACTCGCACGATGAATAACAGAAAAGCCTGAGATGTCTGTGATCAAGACCCCACCTTGTTTGCAATATAAAGCAGAAAGTTTACATAAAGCTTATGGCTTTACGTAAACTTTCTCTTCCGTCTTCAGGATTTTGATCCATTGTAAGTCTGGTGTTTGTAACTTAGTCGTTGTCAGCTGCGGTTGGTAACTTTAAGTCTGGTAGGTAAGTCTAGGGGGCCTCGTAGCCTGGTGGATAGCGCGCAGGACTCGTAATTATGTCGCGCGGGTTCGATTCCCGCACGAGGCAGAAACAAATGGGTAAAGTTTCTTTCACCCTGAATGCCCCTGTTACCTAGCAGTAAATAGGTACCTGGGTGTTAGTCAGCTGTCACGGGCTGCTTCCTGGGGGTGGAGGCCTGGTCGAGGACCGGGCCGCGGGGACACTAAAAGCCCCGAAATCATCTCAAGATAACCTCAAGATAGGTAAAATCAGTAGAAGCCATGAGGAGGATTCGAACCTGCATACTGTGTTCTTCCAAGCACACGCCACCACAAACCATGTAGCCACTACATGCAAACAGCATATCGTAGCATATCTTGGTCGCCCAGAACTGGTCCCTGTAGTAACCATGACGCAGTTCTGGACGGTGTAAGTGTTAGCATTTAAGTGCTCACGGAATCCAATCAGCATCCAAGTGCTCATTTCGTCCTCCAATCAGCATCCAAGTGCTCATTCCATCCTCCAATTTGCACGAGTGCTCATTCCATCCTCCAATCGGCACGAAAGTGCTCATTCCATCCTCCAATTAGCACGAGTGCTCATTTCATCCTCCAATCAGCATCCAAGTGCTCATTTCATCCTCCAATCAGCATCCAAGTGCTCATTCCATCCTCCAATCAGCATCAAAGTGCTCATTCCATCCTCCAATTGGCACGAAAGTGCTCATTCCATCCTCCAATCAGCACGAAAGTACTCATTCCATCCTCCAATCAGCACGAAAGTGCTCATTCCATCCAATCAGCACAAAAATGCTCATTCCATCCTCCAATCAGCACGAAAGTGCTCATTCCATCCTCCTATCAGCACGAAAGTGCTCATTCCATCCACCAATCAGCACGAAAGCACTCATTCCATCCTCCAATCAGCACGAAAGTGCTCATTCCATCCTCCTATCAGCACGAAAGTGCTCATTCCATCCTCCAATCAGCACGAAAGTGCTCATTCCATCCCCCAATCAGCACGAAAGTGCTCATTCCATCCTCCAATCAGCACGAAAGTGCTCATTCCAGCCACCAATCAGCACGAAAGTGCTCATTCCAGCCACCAATCAGCACGAAAGTGCTCATTCCAGCCACCAATCAGCACGAAAGTGCTCATTCCAGCCACCAATCAGCACGAAAGTGCTCATTCCAGCCACCAATCAGCACGAAAGTGCTCATTCCATCCTCCAATCAGCACGAAAGTGCTCATTCCAGCCACCAATCAGCACGAAAGTGCTCATTCCAGCCACCAATCAGCACGAAAGTGCTCATTCCAGCCACCAATCAGCACGAAAGTGCTCATTCCAGCCACCAATCAGCACGAAAGTGCTCATTCCAGCCACCAATCAGCACGAAAGTGCTCATTCCATCCACCAATCAGCACGAAAATGCTCATTCCATCCTCCAATCAGCACGAAAATGCTCATTCCATCCTCCAATCGGCAAAAGTGCTCATTCCATCCTCCAATTAGCACTAGTGCTCATTCCATCCTCCAATCAGCACGAAAGTGCTCATTCCATCCACCAATCAGCACGAAAGTGCTCATTCCATCCACCAATCAGCACGAAAGTGCTCATTCCATCCACCAATCAGCACGAAAGTGCTCATTCCATCCCCCAATCAGCACGAAAGTGCTCATTCCATCCTCCAATCAGCACGGAAGTACTCATTCTATCCCCCAATCAGCACGAAAGTGCTCATTCCATCCCCCAATCAGCACGAAAGCGCTCATTCCATCCCCCAATCAGCACGAAAGTACTCATTCCATCCACCAATCAGCACGGAAGTACTCATGCTGTCGCTGCTAGTGCTCACGCCTGGTTCTCTCCGTCTCCGGAATTCTTGAAGTTGCCATTCAATTACCGCCGGAGTCCTTGGGTTGCCATATTGGCGCCATGTAAATGTTCTGTTGTCATACAATCAGCGCGGGAGACGCCCAGGGACCACAACGCCCAGAGTAATGTGGGCATTGTCTGACAGGTGGGACCTGGGAGCAGGTGGGACCTGGGAGCAGGTGGGACCTGGGTGCAGGTGGGACCTGGGAGCAGGTGGGACCTGGGAGCAGGTGGGACCTGGGTGCAGGTGGGACCTGGGAGCAGGTGGGACCTGGGAGCAGGTGGGACCTGGGAGCAGGTGGAACCTGGGAGCAGGTGGGACCTGGGAGCAGGTGGGACCTGGGTGCAGGTGGGACCTGGGTGCAGGTGGGACCTGGGAGCAGGTGGGACCTGGGAGCAGGTGGGACCTGGGAGCAGGTGGGACCTGGGTGCAGGTGGGACCTGGGAGCAGGTGGGACCTGGGAGCAGGTGGGACCTGGGTGCAGGTGGGACCTGGGTGCAGGTGGGACCTGGGAGCAGGTGGGACCTGGGAGCAGGTGGGACCTGGGAGCAGGTGGAACCTGGGAGCAGGTGGGACCTGGGAGCAGGTGGGACCTGGGAGCAGGTGGGACCTGGGTGCAGGTGGGACCTGGGAGCAGGTGGGACCTGGGAGCAGGTGGGACCTGGGAGCAGGTGGGACCTGGGTGCAGGTGGGACCTGGGAGCAGGTGGGACCTGGGTGCAGGTGGGACCTGGGAGCAGGTGGGACCTGGGAGCAGGTGGGACCTGGGAGCAGGTGGGACCTGGGTGCAGGTGGGAACTGGGAGCAGGTGGGACCTGGGTGCAGGTGGGACCTGGGTGCAGGTGGGACCTGGGTGCAGGTGGGACCTGGGAGCAGGTGGGACCTGGGAGCAGGTGGGAACTGGGAGCAGGTGGGACCTGGGAGCAGGTGGGACCTGGGAGCAGGTGGGACCTGGGTGCAGGTGGGACCTGGGAGCAGGTGGGACCTGGGAGCAGGTGGGACCTGGGAGCAGGTGGGACCTGGGAGCAGGTGGGACCTGGGAGCAGGTGGGACCTGGGAGCAGGTGGGACCTGGGAGCAGGTGGGACCTGGGAGCAGGTGGGACCTGGGAGCAGGTGGGCCCTGGGAGCAGGTGGGACCTGGGAGCAGGTGGGACCTGGGAGCAGGTGGGACCTGGGAGCAGGTGGGACCTGGGAGCAGGTGGGACCTGGGAGCAGGTGGGACCTGGGAGCAGGTGGGACCTGGGAGCAGGTGGGACCTGGGAGCAGGTGGGACCTGGGAGCAGGTGGGACCTGGGAGCAGGTGGGACCTGGGAGCAGGTGGGACCTGGGAGCAGGTGGGACCTGGGTGCAGGTGGGACCTGGGAGCAGGTGGGACCTGGGTGCAGGTGGGACCTGGGAGCAGGTGGGACCTGGGAAAAGGTGGGGGCGGAAGATGAAAGCCAGGGCAAGGCTGTTGCTATTGCCTTTTCTCTCTGGGTTAATCTAGAGAACGAGTTTGTTAGGAGGATGTTAGCGCCATCTCTGGGCGGGTTCATCAACTTCGTGTCGGGGTTCACTGAGGTCGGGTCGGGGTTCATCTTACTCAGGACAGGGTTCATCCTGCTGAAGTCTAGGTTCCTTCCAGCTAAAGTCTGGGTTCATCCTGGTAAAGTCTAGGTTCATCCAGCTAAAGTCTAGGTTCATCCTGGTAAAGTCTGGGTTCATCCTGGTAAAGTCTAGGTTCATCCTGGTAAAGTCTAGGTTCATCCTGGTAAAGTCTAGGTTCATCCAGCTAAAGTCTAGGTTCATCCTGCTAAAGTCTGGGTTCATCCAGCTAAAGTCTAGGTTCATCCTGCTAAAGTCTAGGTTCATCCAGCTAAAGTCTAGGTTCATCTGCTAAAGTCTAGGTTCATCCAGCTAAAGTCTAGGTTCATCCTGCTAAAGTCTAGGTTCATCCTGGTAAAGTCGATGTTCATCCTGCTATAAAGTCTGGGTTCATCCTGCTAAAGTCTAGTTTCATCCTGCTAAAGTCTAGTTTCATCCTGCTAAAGTCGATGTTCATCCTGCTATAAAGTCTGGGTTCATCCAGTTAAAGTCTAGGTTCATCCTGGTAAAGTCTAGGTTCATCCTGGTAAAGTCTAGGTTCATCCTGCTAAAGTCGATGTTCATCCTGCTATAAAGTCTGGGTTCATCCTGCTAAAGTCTAGGATCA